TGTCCCCATGAGTCACCAGGCCTGGCATGGCATCCAGCCGAGGAGGGGGTAGGCAGGGGCTCAACCCTGACTGGCCTCAGCCTTCACCCACTTGGCGAGATCCAGGGGGCCACATCCACAAAGCCCAGCCCAGCCCAGGGGTCGCAGAGTTGGGAGCACTGAGCTGGAAGTAGTGGGGGCCACCACCTGGGAAGGCACAATGGCACGCCTGGGTCCCACTGCAGCCAAGAGCCAGCTCCCCCCACACTCCTCTTGCGGACCCAGGGGTGCTGCCCAGGACAACACCAGAGCAGAGCCATTCCCCAGGAGGGGTCAGGGCGCCCAGGAGAGGAGCTAAGGACCACGCCCTCCTCCGGGACCACCACCCTGGTCCGGGGGGGGGCAGTGTGGGGCCAGGGCCTCTCCTCAGCCAACACCTGCCAACTCGGGTGCTCCAGCTGCCCGAGCCCACTTGAGAAGGAGCCTTGCTGGGAGTGGGCTGGGGGAGGCACCGTGAGAGCAGTGCCTTCTACTCAGGCCCCAGGGACCTGGGTATGTCCTGAGGCCAGCAGGTGGCAAGAGGCACTGGCCAGGGCCTCTGTGAGGGAAGGGGGCTGAGTCAGAGACGTGCACCCCCCAGGTCCTGACAGAGCCGTGATCCTTCCACCCCCACCCAGAACAAAGGTCATGGGCAGGGGGCAGGGGTGAACCCTGGACAGGCTCCTGCTGAGCAGGGCGCCTCTGTTGCCCTGGCGGGCTGAGGGCTGGGCAGCAGCTCCCAGGATGCCGCAAGTGCTCTGTGTGCTGTAACCGTCTCTCCCACGTGGCAGCTGGGGGTGTGTGAGGGGAGAAGCCCAGCCCAGCACGCGCAGACCCGGGCGCTCCAGCTGCAGGGCCCAGACGCTCCCTGCCCCATGACGTGGGCAAAATGGTGGCCCACAGCTGGGGAGCCAGGCCCTCCTCCAGGGACCCTCGGGAGGGACTAGGCCACGGTGCCCAGGCGCCTCTCGGAGGCCACCCCCATACCAGGGCCCCTGGGATGGCCGCCTGGGACGCGGAGCCCCAGGACACAGTGACCGCTGGCACCGGGTCGGACGTCCAGGGCGACAGGAGCGGCTTAGGTCCCTCCTCCGACTCTCACGGTCCCGCCCAGGAGCGACTTTCGCTTTCCAATGAAACAGCTTCAGCCGCACCTGCCCGCCCCGCAACCTCTGCGCCCAAGAGGCGGGCCCTGGGCGGCAGCCGCGGCCTCTGCAGCGCGCCGGGCCGACCCCAATCCCCGGGCCCCGTCGGAGCAAAACAAACCTGGTCCCGCCCCCCGGCCGGCGCGCCGCACCCTCGGCCGGAGTCGGGGGCAGGGGAGACCCTCCCCACGGCGCCCACCGCACTCGCCTGGAGCCCCGGCCCGCTCACCCAGGCAGGCCCCGGTGACCAGCGCCGTGGCCGTGAGCGCCCCGGCCGAGGCGCCGTAGATGTGCGTGGCGTTGGCCACCAGGAAGGGCGCGTGCTCGCGCAGGCAGGAGGCCACGCCGATGTGGTACACGCCGAGGAAGCCGCAGCCCGCGAACGAGATGTTCCACGTCGTCTCCCGGGGGAACATCGCGGCCGCGCCGGGCTCCGGCTCCGCGAGCGGCCGGTCCTGCTGCGGGTCTAGCTCCGAGTCGCCGCCGGCTGGGCGGAGACACTGCGCGGGCGGCGGCGGAGGCGGCGCCTTTAGTGTGGGGCGAGCGACGGGGCGGGGCCGGGCCGGCCCGCGAGGACCAATCGGGGCGCTCGGGGAACGGCCGCGCCCTTGGGGCCCCGCCCCCCCGGTCCCCTCCCCGGCCCCCTCCTGCCCGCCCCTCCCGCCCGGGGAACGCGACACCTGCCGCCCCGCGACGGTGGGCGGCGGGGCACGCGGGGCCGGGTGCGGAGGGCCGAGCCCAGCCCGGAGCCTGGGGCGCCTCGTACTGACCGGGGCGCCCGCGAGGGGCAGCCGCCGGCCCTCCCTCCGGGCTCTGCCCGCGCACCCGCGGGTACGGAGGGCCTGGCCGGGGCAGGTACACGGCGACAGCGCCCATCAGGACCCCACAACAGCCACTCGGTCTCGGGCCGCCACCCCCACTGGTTCGCCTGCGGACTCTGTAAACACCAAGGCCGATGCGAGTCACACAAACCCTTCCCCGGGGGACGCCAGGTCCACCGACCCACGCCCTGACGTCCGGCGTCGGCCCGCTCCCACCCCGCAGCCCTTGGGTACCTCCGCCTGTCAACTGGGTCTGTCGCTGGGTCGGGCCCTGGCCCCTCGGGGTGCGGGGTCTGTCTGGGTCGACTCGGGCCGCCCCGCCCCCGCTAATTGCCCCGAGAGGTGGAGCGCCCTCGGGTGATGTCACCCTCCTCCCCTTTTCCGCATTTTTCGCCTACTGTGGAGCAGGCCAGGCTTGGCTTGGATCCAGGCTCTAGCCCTGCACCTCCCTGCACCCCCAAACAAGGGGCCTGCCCAGGTTGGGGTGGTGGGAGGCAGCGTGCACCTGTCTCCCCAGGAACACTTGCTCCCCAGGTGGGAGCTCAGCTCTGGCCCCAGCTGGTGTGAGGGCTGCAAAGGGTCTAGGGCATGGGGCTGTCCCCCACCCAGGCTCAGTCCCAGAAGTCAGGGCAGGACCTCCCCAGGACAGGGCCTCCTGGGGTCACGCTTTCCAGTCCTCACCCCTGCTCCCAGCCACCCCACAGAGTGGAGGAAGGTCAACCCAGACCTGCCCTGCTGGGGACCAGTCGGCATTGTCTACACTAGCTCAAAAGGAGCGAGAGGAGGCAACCGAGTGTGTGGGCACCGCAGAGATTCTGGGGGGCTTCCCTGGGGAGGTGCCGCTGAACTGAGCTCTGCCAAGGTCACAGGGCTGCCCAGGCAGCCAACAGCACATGCGAGTCCCCAGGGTGGGGGACCGAGGGGAGAGGAGCTGGGGCCAGGCCAGTGGGAGAGGGTGGAGGCGGGTGATGTGACTGAATTTGACTTAGACTCCTTCTCATGTCCGTGGGACACCCCCAAATGCTCTGGATGCAGGTACAGCGCAGCAAATTCACTGGGGAGCAGGGAGGGAGGGCTGGGCAGCATGGAGGGTGCAGCTGGATTGGTGTGATTGGGGTGTGAGGAGGCCCCTGGTGACCAGACTCGGGCGCTGTACAGCAGGGATGGGGCAGACCCCCCCAGGCCATCCTGGGAAGTCCAGGGGACCACTGAGGTGGAAGCCAGCGACTCAAGAAGGTCCTCACACAACCCGCCCCAAGGAGAGGTCGAGGGAGGGCCAGGGGGCAGGCCCTCCCCCCATGTGAGGGAGGGCCAGGGGGCAGGCCCTCCCCCCATGTGAGGGACGGTTGTGTCTTGGCTGGTGGCTGCCCCAGTGCAAAGAAACCTCTGCCCCCATTTCCACAGCTGTTTTGGGTACACAGTCCTCCCTCCAGGCCCCTGGGAGGCTGGGGTGCCAGGAACAAGGCTGTCCTTCCCAGAATCCTGGCGGGGGCTGGGCCTCCCCCATAAGCACGAAGGCCACGGGGCAGTCCAGTGAGAAGTCCTCCCCTCCCCCGCAGTGTCAGGCCTGTCTCGGCCTGGAATTGTGAGCTCTGCACCCCAAAGCCTGGGTCCACTCCTGAGGGCCCCTCCCCAAGCTGGGGGTGTTCACAGCCCCGCCGTCACCCCAGCGCTGCGTGCACACTGCTCACTGCACGCATAGCTGGGGCCCCTGCCTTGGTCTTCTCTTTCTCTCCTCCCCCACCCCCAGCGACCGCCCCCCAACACACACACCCTGGCTCCAGCCTCTTCCACACCTCACCTGGCTTTCCTTCCACCCTGGTCTCTGCTCCTGTGGACAGCCAGAGGCCTTTTATTATTTATTTGAGACAGGGTCTCCCTCTGTCACCCGGGCTAGAGTGCAGTGGCATCACCGTAGCTCACTGCAACCTCAAACTTCTGGGCTTTCTGGGCTCAAGTGATCCCCCTAACTACAGGTGCCACCGCACCCAGCCGATCTCTGGCTGAGGGCTAATCTTGCTCTCACTCAGGCTGGTCTTGAACTCCTGGCCTCAAGCGATCTTCCTGCCTCAACCTCCAAAAGTGCTAGGATTACAGGTGTGAGCCACTATGCCCCACCCAGACTTAAAAACAGTCCAGAAGCCCCCATCTCAGGCCTGCATGGCTCCCAGCCTCTCCCCCACACCCCACGAGCACTTTCCTCCAAGGCCTCTGCCCACTCCAGGCCTTGCCTCCGGCCTGAAGTCGGCCTGGAGCCGCCCTGGCTGTTCAGTGCAGTCTCATCTACCATCTCCCCACAACGAAAGCAGGCCACCATGGTGCCCCCAGCTCCCAGCGGGCCTGGCACAGCCCACAGCCAGCTGACAGGATGCTGAGCAGAGGGAGGGAGAGGCAGGGCATCTCCTGGGGGGGCCTGCATCCGCGAGCACAGGTGGAGGCAGCCTCTGCCCTCAGTTCCGCATTCCGGGCCGGAGCCTGTACAGCCGTGGCAGGCCACCCAGGGCCCACCAGCCCCAGCCACATCTGCCCAACAAGGGGCTGGCTCGTGGACAGCAGGGAAAACAGGCCCCAGAAGTGAGTGCCCACATAGCTCAGGGCATTAAAATGGAGCTGCGAGCACTGCAGAAAAACCCAGGAACACACCCCAATCCCCAAGCTAGGCTCGGGGCCTGCCTCCATCTGCAAAACCCAGAGGCCACCAGCCCTGGCCTTGGCCAGGCTCCAAGACCCTCGCAGCAGAGCCCTGCACATCACCCAGACACTCCACTTCATGTCAGCTTTTCTGCCGTCCACATTTTTGAAGAAAGTTTTCCTGGGTGTCCCCTAAACCCAGGAAACTGCTCAAGGTCCAAGGAAGTGGCCGCAGGCAGCTGTGATGACCAGACTCCCTGATTCGTGCTCACTTGGCACAGACCTCTTCCCCACCCACCTTGCAGCCCCCACCTGCCCCTGTGATGCACCTGGGCTGTGGCAGCAGCAGAGGCCAGACTCTGACAAATGCTCTCGTGACACTCGAGGATACACAAAAAGGCTTTATTTGCAGGGGAGCAGGAATTTAATCAAATAGGCCAAATCCCATGTCATCATCTGATTCTTCAGACTCCTCCTTCTTCTCGTCTTTCTTTTCCTCTGCTGTGGAAGAGCAGAGAGCGTGGTGAGCACAGCCCACAGCCCGGCTGCCAGGGCCAGACTCCCGGTGGACACCCGCAGTGGGGACCTGGTCTGAGCCTCAGGCCCCTTCAGCAGCCTGCCGTTCACAGGCCTCCACTCACCTGCAGCGGGGGCAGAACCAGCAGCAGGAGCTGCAGCACCTGGGGCGGCAGAGACGGCCACAGCCCCACCGGCAGGCACGCTGGCAAGCTTGCCAATGCCTACACAAGGAGAGGGGCAGTGAGTGAGAGTAGAGCAGGTGCCCAGTCTGGAAAGTTGCTCCTCAAGGCTTTAGAGACCTGGGGAAACCAGACTGCACCAGGCACGGCACAGTGAACCAAACATATCAGGGCCCCATAATACAGTGCCAGTGTCAAAGCTCCCCTCTTCTTCCAGAACGCAGGAGTCACTCCCCACCCCGCCACACCCAGAGACTGCTTGACATTCACTGCCTGACACTTCTCTATTCCCCTACCCTGTCCAACCAAGGCACTTTTTCTATCTAGAATTTGCCTCCTAGGAGTTCTGCCCCCTCACCCTGGAGATACGTGGACACAAACATGGCTCTGACTGGGCAGGGAACCAGTCTGCTGCCCCAGCACCCAGATCTTTGGCCACAGTGATGAGCTCATGCAATGGGCTGTCTGCGGAGCTGGCCTTGCCAGGTCACGTGCACAGGGACAGGAGCAGCCGTCCCAAACAGCTCAACTTCCAAACAAGTCCCATCAGCTCCAGCCTGATGTCAACAGAAAACCATCTGCCCAGCGAAGGGGGCAGAGGCCTGTGGCCATCCCTGGCAGCCTGAGTCCCGCCCCTTCCCGGAAAGAAGGTGGTGAGAGTTGTTGACGAAAGCCCAGTCGTCCAGACGCCAAGTTTCAGAGAAATCCTGGGGGAAAGGACTCAGGCCCAGGAGCAGTCAGGCCCCAGAGGGAGGGCCACCAGCAGGCCCAGTGCAGGCCCCCCTGCTGCCCTACTCCTACTAATGTCTAGAAGCATCCGTGACATGAGCTAGCGGAAGCCCTGCTCACTCTTTGGCTGAGGCTTCTAGGGTGCTCTAGTCCACAAGCGAACCCTGGCAGGCCACAGGGGGCCAGCAGGGATTAGGATGGACCATGAAAATGATCCTCTCCAGATAAACTCACCCTGGGCAATGACATCTTCGATGTTTTTTCCATTCAGCTCACTGATGACCTACAATACACAACCACAGCCAGCAGTTACCGGAGATATGCAGTTGCATCCCTGGCCTTGACCCTGTCTTCTAGAGTTAGGATAGGGTAGTACATGGAAAAACGCTGAGCTTTTAAGCCAACAGACAACCACTAGCCCCATGTGACTCTTTTCAGCTGATACATGCTGTAAGTGCAAACCAGACACTAGAATTCTAAAACACAATACTGAGAAAAAAATAAAATACTTTGTTGCTTACGCTGACCAGGCACCGAAACAACATTTTAGTGCCCAGCCTGGGCAACATAGCTTGACCCCATATCTAACAACAAAAAATTAGCCGGCGTGGTGGCATAGGCCTTGTAATCCCTGCTACTCGGGAGGCTGAGGCAGGAGGATCGCCTGAGCCCAGGAGTTTGAGGCCGCAGTGAGATGTGATGACGCCACTGCACTCTGGCCTGGCAGACAGAGCCAGCCCGTCTCCAAAAAAAAAAAAAAAGTTCTTTCAAACAAGTTGCACGAAATAAACTGGAATTAAAATAGACTTTGCCTTTTCTTATGTTCTACAACCCGCCTGCGTTAAACTTCTGGATTACGCTGCTCAGGGCTTTGCCTCCTGCTCCCGTCTGCTTACTTGGCCACCCACGAAAGCACCACCCGGACGGGCACAGGCCGCTTCCCAAACTCTGCAGCACGTTAACTGCGCTGCCCCGGCGGAAAACCGGATCAGGCAGCAGCGAGGCCGCCCGCGTGAGACCCCGGGCCCGCGGGGGCAGCTACCTTGTTGAGCCGGTCGTCGTCCGCCTCGATGCCGACGCTGTCCAGGATTTTCTTGATGTCCTTGGCGCCGGGGGAGGGGTTGCCCCCGAGGGCAGCCAGCAGGTAGGAAGCGACGTAGCGCATCCTGAGGCGGGCGGAGAGCGCGCGGCGGCGGCGTTACCCCGGCGGCCTCCCGACCCCGGGGCCGCCGCGCCGGCCGAGCGAGGCCGCGCGAGGCTCACCCCGGACGCCCCCGACCCAGCGAGGCCACCCGCCCCGCGGACCGTTCCCAGCTCCACAGCCCCGGCCCCCGCGGCCCGGCCGCCCCACTCACTCGGCGGCGGACAAGCCTCACGCGTGCGACCTCAGCGGCGTCAGGGAGGGAAAGGAAGACGCCGACGCAGGGGGCGGGGGTAAACCGCTACCCAGAAGCCTCTGGGACTCGGGCGCGGCGACGCACGGGGGCGCCTCCGAGTGACGCAACGGGTCGCTTAGCCAATGACGCCGGGGGGAAGCCATTGTCCCGTTAAGTCAGGAGGTCGCCCAGTAAAGGCAAAGGGCGGTTCCGGGACCAGCTTCTCTTACAGTACGGGGAGAATGTCCCCCGGAACCTGTAGGGCGCCGGACGTAGCGAGCCCAGGGGGACTTCATCTCCCTTCAGCGCCTAGCGCCCCCAGCATGCCACGCGGGGCCTATAGCTCCCAACATGCAGCGCGGCCGCCACGCCCGGGACGCATCCTTTGTCGGCGAACTGCAAGTCCCATGGTGCACTGCTGCCGGAAGTGCATGTGCGCCGCGGCTTGCGCTAGACTGCACGTGGGCCTGGGGGAAGCTGCGGGCAGCTGGGCAGCTTTCTGCCCGGCTGGTGGCTTCCGGGCCGACGTCTGGAGGCCCACGTGTTCGGCCGCGCTCTTAGGTGGGCGAGCCTCCTCAGGCTTAGTGACTGCGGCCCTACCTGGGAGGCTGCCCTTGTCATGCCGTGGCCTGTGGGTCAGGGCGGCGGGTCAGAAGAGGAGTCCCAGCCTAGGAGGCCTGGGCAAAGTGGTGCGGCAGCGTCACCCACGCCCAGAGGAGCGGCTCACCCCCGCAGCCCTGGGAGGGATGAGGCCCGAGTGGTCCGCCTAGGAGTTGGCCGCATCGGCCCCGAACCGACCACAGTGCCCATGTGGACATCGCATATTACTAATTACTCCTTCGTGTCAGGGACCTTGCCGCACTCTGGGGTCCCCAGAGGGAACAGGTTCAGCCCTGCCTTCGCAGGACTTACGCTCTTGTGCAAAGTAAAGAAAGGAGGAAATCCGAGAGAGAGAGGGAGGAGGAGGCCTTGGTCTGGGCAGCCCGGGAAAACTTCCTTCAGGCAGTGTCATTGAGCTGAAAGATGAAGAGTGGGCCTTGCAAAAGATTTAGGGCCAGCACCAGGCAGAGGCAGCGCCAGCCCACGTGGGGTTTGAACTACACTGCAAACCCTCGTGTGTAGCGCGTCAAGCACTGGTGTGTGAACTCAAACTTTATAATCGCCCTCACTGACCTCCCTTCATTACCCCCAGTTTATAGATGAGGCAGTTGGGCACAGACAGGTTTTTTGCCCAAGGCCACCCATCTGGGGTAAAGGGGCAAGGATGGGACTTTATTGCAATCACAAAGTGAAACCATTTAATGTGTTAAGCAGGGATGTAATTTTCTTACAAGCAGGTTGTGATTTTCTTTAATGGTAAAATAACACATGACAGCATTTACCATTTTAACTACTCTTAAAGGTACAATAGCACTAAGTGCATTCGCACTGTTGTGCAACCATCACCAAAACCATCTCAGAAACCTTTTCATCATGCCAAAGTGAAACTATACCCATTAAATTCCCCATTCCCCCCTCCCAGCCCCTGATAACCACCATTCCACTTTCTGTTTCTATGATTTTGACTACTCTGAGGACCTAATAGGAGTGAAATCATACAGTATTTGTTCTTTTGTGCCTGGCTTCGTTCATTCAGCACGTTTTCAATTTTCAAGGCTCATCCATTCTGCAGCATGTATCAGGATTTCTTTTCTTTATTTTTTTAAGAGATGGGTCTGGATGTGTCACATAGGCTGGAGTGCAATGGCTGCTTACAGGCACAATCATAGCGTATTACAGCCTCAAACTCCTGGACTTAAGTGATCCTCCTGCCTCAGCCTCCCTAATAGCTCAGCCTACAGGTACTTGCCACTGTGCCTGGCTTTCTTCCTTTTTAGGGCTGAATAATATTCCTGTGATTGGGTTTTTAAGAAGATTCCTCTGCCAGCTATGTGGAGACTGAATGAGAGGAAGCGCTGGAGGAAATGGAAGTGGGGAGGCCAGGCAGGGACCTGCCCGCCCCAGTGGCGGGAAGAGGGAGCACACAGTATGATCTGGAGTAGAACAAACAGGACTCTGCCGCATGAGGAGGCCAGGAATGAAGCACAGGCCCCAACCTTAGCAGGTCGGTCACGGTTGGTGGGGAAAGCACACAGATCGGGTGAGTTTCTTGGCTTTGACACTCACCAGCTACAGGGTCTTGGGCAAAATCTTATCTCCCAGAGCCTCCTTTGGGAAATTCAGAGGATGATTCAAGGAGGCCGCGCCAGGAAGCTCAGTGCCTGGGCGCCTGGCCCAGGACGATGGCCAATAAAGGAGGGTCGTTGGAGCCGTGGGCAGGTTGGGTAGCTCTGCGAGGCTCCGGGAGGTCCCGGGCGGCTTCCCAGGGAAGGAGACCGTTGGCGCTGACTGGGGAAGGGCACTCTTAGAGTTCTGGCTTCCGGGGGGCGGGGGCTGGGCCAGCCAGCAAAGTCCGCCCCCACGGCCTGGGATCGAACCTGGGCAGGGACTGCACGGCCTGGGAGCCGCCGGGCGGGATCCTCCGAAAGGGCGGGACTCGGGGCGCGCCGCCGGCCTTCCCGGCGCGCGTGCTGGACGGCACAGTTACGCCGGCTGACGGCAAGCGGAGTGCAGCCGGGCGGGCGGCGCGACAGACGGACGGGGCGTGGCCCGGGATCTGGGGGCGGGGCCCGGGGCGGGGCCTGGGGCCGCCCGCCCGGAACCGCGCCGGCGGGAACATTGGCGCGGAGCGCGCGGACCGGCGCCGGGGCCTGGGCTCCACCTGGAGGCAGGTACGCGCCGGCCGCGGGCGCGGAGGGGACGGCAGGGACGTTCGCTGGAGAGGGCGGGGCTGCCCCGTGCCTGGCGCCCGGGCATCCCCAGCCTGCCTCCGCCGCGGACGGCGGGGAGGGACGAGGGCGAGCGCTCGGGGCTGGGGCCCGCCCCCACGCCGTCTGAGCCCTCCCTAGTGGACGGAGGTGTGAACTGGAAAGGGAAGAAGAGCCCTCCTCCAGGGGTCACGAATTGGGGTCCCGTCCCCAAAACCCCGAAGCCGCCCCGTGGCTCACGCCTCAGGTCCCTCGTCTTACACTGGCTTCTCTGACATGCCGGGGCAGAGTCAACCCCGGGGCCTAGGAGCTGATGGCTGTGCAGGTCGAAGGTCAACTCATCCCCAGAGCAGGGCAGCAGCCTGATGGCCTGACAGGTCTGGGAGTCACTTGCCCCGATTTCCAGAACTTGAAGCCTCACTCCTGGCCCCTGCCGGGAGCAGGGTTCCCCAGGCTCTGCTGTGTACAGGGTCCCCCTGCCTGGTGCCCCTCCCAGCCAGGGGGGATCCCATTCCCCAACCCCCTTTCCAGCAATGATCCAGACTCCAGGGCTGCGGAGTGACCCCAGGGTCTCCTCCGCTCTGTGGACCAGATGGCCTGGCTCAAGGGCCCCCCTGCTGCAGCCAGAGTCCCTGTTCCCCTGATAGGAGGAGGGAACCAGCCCCCACTCCTGCCCACTGTTCCCCCTTCCTCTGCAGCCTCCCTGGGCCCTGCCTGATCAGGCCTGCCTGCGTGCCAGGACATGTCTGGCCCCCGAGGACAGTTGGTGGGTGATGGCTGCAGTGGTGGAGGGGCTGGAGCCCGAGGCAGCTGCTGCAGAAGACGCAGCCAGAGATGCTGTGCAGGCGGTGGAGGCCGGGCCCGGGGCGCCTCCTCTCCTGGTCGGGGGCAACCGGCTGAGCTTCGACCTGCACCCTGGGGGCTGCCACCGGCTGCTGCACCTGTGTGCCCAGCAGCTCCCTCAGCTGCTCCAGGTGGAGTTCTTGCGGCTGAGCACCCACGAGGACCCTCAGCTGCTGGAGGCCACCCTGGCCCGGCTGCCTTGGTGCCTGCCCCGCCTCCGCTCCCTGGTCCTCAAAGGTGAGCCGCACCCATTCCTGACCCCCTCCCATCTCTACTGTGCCCTGCCACTGCTTGATCCCCAAAGGCAAACCCTAGTCCCAGCCCCAGCTCGAGGCTTCACCTCCCTGCTCCCCAGGTGCGAACTCCTGTCCTACTCCTGATCCCTGTCCTCAGCCCCTTCACCTTCCTCACCCAAGGTGAGGTTGGCTGGGTCCCAGCTCCCAGACCCTGACGCTGCCCTGTGGGGTCTCTCAGCGGACCCCGGTGTGGATGTTGCTCCTGGGGTAGGTCATGAGTGACGGCTGTCAGCTGAGATGGACCAGTGGTCTCCGTCCCTGCCTCCCTCCATTCCCTAGTGTCTGTCTGTCCTTGTCTGGCTGGGGGGAATGGGATGTCTGTGCCTCTCGAGTAGCTCTTTCCCTGGCTGGCAGGGCCAAGCTGGGATCTGGGACCCTGGTTCTGGGGGCCACATCCGCCTCCCCCTCTTCCCAGGAGGGCAGTGCCGGGACACGCTGGGAGCCTGCCTCCGGGGCGCCCTGACCACCCTGCCCGCTGGCCTGAGCGGCCTGGCCCGCCTGGCCCACCTGGACCTGAGCTTCAACAGCCTGGAGAAGCTGCCGGGGTGTGTCCTGCAGATGCGTGGCCTGGACGCTCTCCTGCTTTCTCACAACCGCCTCTCCGAGCTGCCGGAGGCTCTGGGGGCCCTCCCTGCCCTCACCTTCCTCACCGTGACACACAACTGCCTGCAAACGCTGCCCACAGCTCTGGGGGCCCTGTCCACCCTACAGCGCCTCGATCTCTCTAAGAACCTTCTAGACACTCTACCCCCGGAGATTGGAGGCCTGAGCAGCCTCAGTGAGCTCAATCTGGCCTCCAACCGGCTGCAGAGCCTCCCAGCCTCTCTTGGTGAGTAGCAGCTGCAGCCCCCTGTGCTGCCTGATGGGCAGCACCCCTCAGCCGCTGGCCGGGCTCTACCCTCACTTGGGCCCCTGCACCACAGGCTTGGCCCACGGCTGCCTCCTTGGTTGCCCCTGCACCTCCCTGGCCTTCAAGGCTCCCTGTGCGGCTTTGTCGGAGCTCTCGGAGCCGGCGCAGAGTCGAGTCTGAGACAGCTTCTCTGGGAGGCTGCAGCACGAGTGTCCTGGTGGTCCTCTGCCGACCCTAATCCAGCTCCTGCCTCCAGCGGGGCTGCGGTCCTTGCGGCTCCTTGTCCTGCACAGCAACCTCCTGGCCTCGGTGCCCGCCGGCCTGGCCCACCTCCCGCTGCTCTCCCGGCTTGACCTGAGGGACAACCAGCTCCGGGACGTGCCCCCTGAGCTACTAGACGCCCCCTTTGTGCGGCTGCAGGGGAACCCCCTGGGCGAGGCCTTGTCAGACCCTCCGAGTCCCACAGGTAGGCTTGGTGCTAGGGAGGGGCAGCCCATGATAGGATGTGGGCAGCCCACCGTCCCGACGACAGGTCTGTCCCTTCCACAGGGACACCCCCAGTTCTGGAAATGCCCAGGCTGTTCCTGACCTCAGATTTGGACAGGTACGGGGGAGATAAAGGAGAGTAGGGGTGTCTGTTTACCAGTCCCCTAGCCCGTGCCTCAGGGGTCTTTTGGAGCCCCCGGGGCACCAGGCTCTGCCACACAGGCACCTCTGAGTCTGACCCGACGCCCCCCTTTCCTCCCTCAGCTTCCCTGTGACCCCCCGAGGCTGCTCTGTGACCCTGGCCTGTGGCGCCCGCCTGCAGTTCCCGGCAGGGGCCACCGCTACCCCCATCACCATCCGTTACCGGCTGTTGCTGCCAGAGCCAGGCCTCGTCCCCCTGGGTCCTCATGACGCCCTGCTCAGCGGTGTCCTGGAGCTGCAGCCCCACGGTGTGGCCTTCCAGCAGGCATGGCCAGCGTGGGGCGGGGGGCAGGGGTGGAGGCCCCAGGTCTGGCCCCAGCCTCACACCACCCTTGCTTGGCAGGACGTGGGCCTGTGGCTGTTGTTTGTGCCCCCGCGGGCCCGGCGTTTTCGTGAGGTGGTGGTCAGGACCCGCACTGACAACAGCTGGGGTGACCTGGAGACCCACCTGGAGGAAGAGGAACCCACGGTGAGGGCCACCCAGGCCTGCAGGGGGCCTGCCCCGTCCACCGCTCTCCCCTCCCCTGCCCCACCTCTGCCCACCCCACCTCTGTCTCTAGCTGGGTCCTGCTCCCTCCGTCCGGCAGCTCTGCCCTGACCCCTCTCCCCTCTGACCCCCAGCACCCGTTCCAGCGGCTCTGGGCTCACTGCCAAGTGCCCCACTTCTCCTGGTTCCTTGTGGTTTCTCGCCCTGTGTCCAATGCCTGTCTGGTGACACCAGAGGGGACACTGCTGTGTTCCTCCGGGCATCCTGGGGTCAAGGTCACCTTCCCCCCTGGGGCCACTGAGGAGCCTCGTCGAGTCTCCATGCAGGTACGGCCAGGGCAGCACCGAGGATGGCAGGTGGAGCCTCAGCCCACACGTGGATGCTCAGATGGCCTGTCTGCCCCAGGTGGTGCACATGGCCGGCCGGGAGCTGCGCGCTCTCCTGGGGGAGCCAGAGGCCGCGGTGAGCCCCCTGCTGTGCCTCTCACAGAGCGGCCCCCCTGGCTTCCTCCGCCCAGTCACTGTGCAGCTGCCTCTGCCCTCTGGCATCACAGGTGAGCAGTGGCCACGTGCTGTACCCTGAGCTATGGCCATAGTGCAGAGGGGCAGTGCTTGGCGGGGGCAGCCTCGGCTGGGGGGCCTTAGCCTACTGCCCCCTCCTGTCCCCAGGCCTCAGTCTGGACCGCTCCTGCCTGCACCTGTTGTACTGGGCCCCTCCTGCAGCCACCTGGGATGACATCACAGCTCAAGTGGTGCTGGAGCTCACCCACCTGTACGCTCGCTTCCAGGTCACCCACTTCTCCTGGTCAGTGTCCACGCAGCTTCCTCAGTCCCCGCCCCACCCCCGTCTGTACAGTCCCCTCACCCCCAGCCCTCCCAGGTACTGGCTGTGGTACACCACCAAGACCTGCGTGGGGGGCCTGGCGCGGAAGGCCTGGGAGCGGCTGCGACTGCACCGCGTGAACCTCATCGCCCTGCAGCGGCGGCGGGACCCTGAGCAAGTCCTGCTGCAGTGCCTGCCCCGAAACAAGGTGGGGGGGCGAGAGGGCGGCAGGGTGGTGACCAGCGGGCAGGGGTGGGGTTCGGAGCTTTGGCTCTGAGCCGCGTGGGTGCGTCGTAGGTGGATGGCACCCTTCGGCGGCTGCTGGAGAGGTACCAAGGCCCGGAGCCCTCTGACACCGTGGAGATGTTTGAGGGTGAGAAGTTCTTTGCGGCCTTCGAGCGGGGCATCGACGTGGACGCTGGTAGGCCCCCTTAGCCCTGGAGCGGGAGCTCGTAGCCTGCCCCACCCCCCTGCTGAGCCCCCCCCTGCCCCCAGATCGCCCCGACTGCGTGGACGGCAGAGTCTGCTTTGTCTTCTACTCACACCTAAAGAATGTGAAGGAGGTTTATGTGACCACCACTCTGGACCGGGAGGCTCAGGCTGTGCGGGGCCAGGTGGGTCAGTGGGGCAGGGTCCCCAGGTTGCCTGGGCAGGGGCCAGAGCTCTGAACCCCACCTGATTCCCCTCAGGTGTCCTTCTACCGGGGCACGGTGCCTGAGCAGGTGCCCGAGGAGGCGGAGGCTGCCCGGCGGAGGAAGGGCACTGATGCCCTGTGGATGGCCACTCTGCCCATCAAGTTGCCGGTGGGGCTGGGGGCAGCGTGAAGGGGTGTGGGTGGGACAGAGGCCCAGGGGTGACTTGGGCAGGGTCTGGGGCTCACTACACTTCCTCCTCCCAACAGAGGCTACGGGGCTCTGAGGGGCAAGGGCGGGGAGCCAACCTCTCCCTGGCACCTCTGAACCTGGGCGATGCTGAGACCGGCTTCCTGACCCAGAGCAACCTGCTGAGCGTGGCTGGGCGCCTGGGTCCTGACTGGCCGGCCGTGGCCCTACACCTGGGCATGCCCTACCGTGAGCTGCAGCGCATCCGGCATGAGTTCCGGTGAGCCTCCCGCTGCGCCTGGTGCCAGCCTGAGGGCTGGGCCTGGCTAGCCAGAGGGCCCCACTAGATGCTGGCAGAAGTTTTCTTCCAGGGGAGGTGAGGGCATGGCAAACACCAGGCTGGAAAGGGAGGGTCTGGCAGCAGCAGGCCCAAGGGCTAGGGGCAGTGGGACCCTGAGTGTGGTGAGTGGTCCTGGGCAGGTGGGCAGGACCGCTCCATCCGCGGTTCCTCTCCCAGGGACGACCTGGACGGGCAGATACGCCATATGCTCTTCTCCTGGGCTGAGCGCCAGGCTGGGCAGCCAGGGGCCGTGGGGCTCCTGGTGCAGGCCCTGGAGCAGAGTGACCGGCAGGACGTGGCTGAAGAGGTTCAGGCGGTCTTGGAGCTCGGCCGCCGCAAGTACCAGGACGGCATCCGGCGCACAGGCCTGGCTCCCGAGGACCCTGCTGTACCCCCCGGCCCGTCAGCCTCACAGTCCCAAGAGCCTGCCCAGGCCTAGGCCCCACCGACTTTGGGCTGGCCCCTGACGTGCCCCGGCCGATGGCCAGGACCCCCCACTTTCAAGCCTCTCGAAGTGTCTCCCGTGGGCAACAAACCTGTAGTGTTTCCTCTGTGGTCTCAGAGCTTGTTTATTTGTGGATGGAGAGGCTGGAGTGAGGCCCAGCCCTGCTGGGAGGGCCTGTGCACGCAGACTGCCTGCAGCCCTTGCTCCTGCCGCTCTTCCCACCATGCCTGGGCCTCCTGTTGGTCCTGATCTTTCCCTGGACTAGGAGGAGCTGGTGCTACAAAGTAGCAGCGCTGGTGGATACAAAGTCACCTGTGTGGCAGGAGCGTGCATCCGCCTTGCACCGGCGAGCCGTTTTCACTGAGCACCTACTGTCTGCCCTGGAGACCCGCTGCTCCCCCAGGACACCCACATCCACCTGCTCCCTGCCACCTGCCCGCCCCCCACGGCCCCGGTCCCTACAGGGGCCTGAGGTCCGGAGACCAAAGAAGAACCCTGGGGACGCAGGCCCGGCCCTTCGCGCGCCGAGCCCCCCACTTGCCGCCCTACCGGCCCTGCGTCCCCGTCGCCCCGTGCGCCCGGTGCCCGGTGCGGGTGGGCTTGGGGCTGTGGCCTGGCCGGCGCAGTAGCCGCGGCGGCCGGGAGGGGGAGCCGAAGCCCGGCCTGGGCCGGGGGCGGAGCGCGCGCGGCGCCGAGCGACGCGTCTCCCCGCCTAGGTGCTGGCGGGGCGCGCGGCACGGCGGGGAGGCGAGCGCAGCGGCGGCACAGCGCGGTGAGTGCCCGCCTGGCGACTCCCTTCCGCTGCGCCCACCCGCGCGGCTGGGCTGCGGGGCCGAGGGGTGCCACGGCGGCCGGGGTAGGTGACAGCTGCCCGGAGAGGGTGGCTTCCGCGGGGCCTAGACCGGCAGATGCTCCGACCCGCCGCCCGGGTGTGGGAGGCCGTGCTCGGCCCCGGCGGTGCCGGGCGCGCTCCCCAGGCACACGTGTCCCGGGGGTGGGGGCCGGGGCCGGAGCCCAAGGAGGAGAGGCCTTGGGGGGCGCACACGTGGGACCTCACCGGACATGTGTGGACACGTGTGCGTGACCGGAGTCGTGGTCTCCAGGCGGGGATAGCGAGGCTGGCTGAGCCCTAATAGCAGCGCAGGGGCCCGAGCCGGCCTCGGAGCGGAGGGAGCGGCTCCCAACCCGCTTCCCCTTTGTCCGGAGCGCGGCACTGCGCAGTTGGAGACCCCGAGACCCTCCACGCCGAGGACTGAAAGCACCTCTCCAAGAGGAAGGGACTGGGGGGATTGGGTGGGGCGCGGGTAGCCAGTCCCACACTCTGAGCCTCACCCCCATCGCCCTTCTTGCAGGTAGGGGGAGCTGGGCAGCTTCATTTGCGGGAATTTTAGCCCTGCAGGTCAGGGAGCAGCAGTATGGCCCAGTGGGGTGGTCTCTATGGGCTCTCCTGTGCTCTCCCCAGCTTGCCTGTGGCCTCAGTTTCCCTGAGGGCTGACGGCCCTGGGGCCTGAGCGCCAGGCTGAGACCGCTGGTTTCTACGACATCAGTACAGGGGAGGGCCCTGGCCAGCTGTCTCATAAGCAAGGGGTGGGTGCTGCCAAGTGAGGACAGAGGAAGGGGGTCCAGGGTCCAGAGGGCCCTGCCCGTTGTTCCCCAGGTGGAGCCTCACCATCTGTTCCCTGCCCGGCAGCGTCCTCTCTGCTGCCCTGGCCTGTGCCGGGTGCGTTGGGGGCACACGGCCGACTCTGCAGGCCGTGGTGTCTCTGGGCCTGCATCTCTTCCCGAGACCGGAGACCCCTCCCCACCCTGGATGGTCTGTGTGACTGCTAGGCCAGGGCTGCCCCCCATCACCCAGGTGTCCCTCACCCTGAACAGGGAGGAAGGGGGTTGCCCAGGGAGGCAGGACTCAGTTCCCGGAGGGCAGGGGTAGAGCCCAGGGCAGCAGAGAGAGCTGGCTGTGGCCAGGCTACACCTGGAGAGTGGGGTGGTGAGGGATAGATGAGGTTGAAGTTCAGAGGTCAGTCCTTCACCCCTGGGGCACAGAGAGGCGGGCTGTGGGGCATAGGGCTCTGGCAGTTTCTGGGCCCTCCAGACCTGCCAGGTGAGTAGGGCCTGTGGGTGGCAACCAGCAGCCTGCAGGACCCAGCCCTTTCCAGTGACATACGTGCCTTTCCGTGTCCCAGCTTGAGGTTCCTTTGACAAGTACCTGCCCGTAACGTACACACAGGTCCCGCAGACCTGGGTATCAACCCATCTCTACCCGACAGCACCAGATTCCCCACGCAGGTACCCCCGGTGCCTGGGTGCAGAAAGAGTCCCCTCCGCAGGGTACCAGTGCCCTAGACATCAGGCTGCTGGACTCGACCCAGAGGCTGCAGACAGGAATCCACCAGGTGGCTGGGGTCAGACCCAGCCCCCTCCCTGGGGCTCCGAGGCTGGGCCGTGTACCCCTGCCCCCCTGAAGTTGTCTCACCCCTTCTCGCAGAGCTGCAGGAAGCCCCAGCTTGCCCAAAGAGAAAGAGAAAGTTGCCGCCCCTCAGGCCCGCCCTGCCCCGCCTGGCCCCGCCCCGCAGCCAATCCCGGCGCCTGCCCGCCTCCGAGGCAGCTTCCCCTGCTCGGTGAACCGGCTTGCTGGAGTCCCGGAGGAGCCCAGTCCTGAGAACCTCGGGGTGAGCAGAACCAGTGAGGGGAGCAGAGCGGGCTGTGGGAGGGTGGGGACCTGCAGGTCAAGGTGAAGGTCACGGGTCCTCTGGGAGACGGCAGGCGTGAGCCAGCCCTGTGACCCTGGGCAGCAGCGCTGCGGTGCGAGCCTGTGACGGCTGGCCTCCGAGGGGGCCCGGGGGACGCGCGCGCCAGGACTCTGGGAGGCGCCCCCCAGCTCGGTTTGTATGGCTGCGCCCATGGGAGGCCCCGGGGGCTGGCTCTGGCTGCTCAGCGTTGCCCCTGGCGGGAGAGGCCCCTTCTCCCCTCAGCCTGAAGTGGATGGGGGCGTCGACCACAGGGGCCTCAGAAGGTCAGCCGTCCTCCCCAGCTGTCCCCTCCGCCACGCACGCCTGAGGCTCCCGCTGGGTCTCTGCGCCTCTGTGAGTGAGGCTCCGGGGAGATGGAGAGGGTGAAGGTGGGCAGAGCGCTGCTGTGGGTGCTTTGGCGCTTCTCTGTGGGGAGGGGGCTCTGCGGGCCCAGAGTGGGGCTGGACCTGGAGTGGCTGAGTCCATCTGGGCAGCCGAGAGCTGAGCCCAGGACAGGGGGACTTGGAGCACCAGGGAGGAGCCAGGGAGGAGCCAGTGAGGAGACCCCCACTCCCATCCAGAGAGGGCAGGTGTCCGGCCTCTGCCCAAGGAAGGGGCATGGTCAGCCCAGTCCGGGTCGAAGTGCTCCAGCAGGCAAGCGGGCCCCTGCCGCTGTCCCCCAGCGGCGCCTGGCCCTTTAAAAGCCTGAGCTCTCTGGGTGCGTGTGAGCATGAGCAAGTGTGAGCTGGGAGGAGCCGGCGGGGGCGCTTGAGGGTGGTCCCAGGGACAGGGCTGGGTGGCAGGCGCCTCCCCTGTGCACCCCCAGAACTTGGCGATGGCTCCAGCCCAGCCAGGGTGGGAGGCTTATTCCTCTGGTTTGTCCCGCCCTCCACTGATGCGCTGTCCCCGCTTCCTTCCAGGACAGAGTGGGGGCTGAGCCTTGAAATTCCTCCAAAGGTGGAGGACCGCCCTCCCCGCTCAGTCCCAGCCTCCCTCCGCGTGGCCTCCTCCCCCAGCACCAAGTCCACCTCTGTCTGGCTCCTACCCGGCGCGACCCGATCAAGTTAAATGGCTGATAAGCAGATCAGGTCAGACTTCAGTCTTGGCCACGTGCCCCACTCCCCACCCCTGACCTACGGTCCAGGAAGCAGATCTTGACCACTCCCCCGCCTGCCTACACAGCCTGCCAGCCAAGCTCATCAATGGTGGCATCGCTGGGTTGATCGGGGTCACCTGCGTGTTCCCCATCGACCTGGCTAAGACGAGGCTGCAGAACCAGCAGAACGGCCAGCGCATGTACACCAGCATGTGAGTGTGCCCGGCGGGCAGGGGTGCAGCCTGTGGACTTGGCACCAGGTGGCGCGGGGGCAGGGTGAGGTTTACACCTCTCAGCTGTGCTCCTGTGCCCCCCACCACGTGACAGAAGAAGGTGAAGGCAGGGCAGGCCTGGGGGCGGTCCCATCCTGGTCACAGCTGGGGTCCTCACTGGGCTCAGGGCTTGGCCTCTTCTGTCAGCCCTGGGCAGCCCAGAGACCCCAACCCCTGGGCCAGGAAGGAGCTGACCTCCACCTGCACTCAGGAGTGGGACCGTCCACGCCGGCCCCCAGCTCACCCCATCCCCTTGGCTGCAGGTCCGACTGTCTCATCAAGACCATCCGCTCCGAGGGCTACTTCGGCATGTACCGGGGTGAGCTCAGGGCGCAGCAGGCCTGGGTCGCACCTTCCCGAAGCCTCGGTGGGGCGGCCAGTGGGGGGTGCAGCGGCAGGGCGGCCAGTCTGTGGAGGTCTGTGGGGGCTGGCAGAACCTGTGCTGGGGCGGGGTTGGCTCTCGGTGGGTGGCAGTGCTCAGCCCTCCCCGGGCACCCCCCCACTCCCCGTGTGATGCCAGTGCTTGGTGTGGCAGGACATTGCAGAGGATGTCCTACCACATCTCCTTCCCTGCCTTCTGGGACAGACGGGCCCATCTGTGCTAGAGATGGCAGGGCGTGGGGGGGCGTCCCTGCAAAGCAGCTTAGGAAACAATCCGCAGCCTGGATCTGGCCAGAAGCCCTGAGCCCTCGGAACCGAGATGGGGGCTCTCCGCCGCCTCCCCTAGTCTGACCCACACAGGGCCACACACTCCTGTGTCCCCTCTCCCAGCCCCCACCAGTGCAAGTGCCTTCCGTCCCCCAGGGAGGCCACCACGGGCTCCGGGCTCTGACCCCACTGCCTGGTGGCAGCAGCAGCAGTGTGAGGCCTGTGTCCCTGGAAGCAGGGACAGATGGAGGCAGAGTGGGAGGACTGTGGGGGGTGGGCGGCTGGAGGAGGCGGAGGCATGTCCCCTATCTCGCCTGGTCCCCGCCCCTCCTGGCACAAGCCGGGGGCCCAAATGTGGGTGAGAGGGCAGGAGGCGGCGGCCAGGGAGTAAGTGATTGGGGAGGGCTTTGCCAGCTGGCCGGGAGCCTCCCCGGCCCAGGCCGCAGAGTGCATGCACCCCCGCCTGACCTGCCTGTGTTCCCCCAGGCCCCACCTGACCCCCGTGTGCCCCACAGGAGCCGCCGTGAACCTGACCCTTGTCACCCCTGAGAAGGCCATCAAGCTGGCAGCCAACGACTTCTTCCGCCATCAGCTCTCTAAGGATGGGTGAGGGGCTGGACCTGCCTGGCGGCTGGGACCCAGGTCATGAGGGGGGGCCTGTGGCAAACACCTGGGGGGTCCTTTGGCTCCAGACAAAGGACAGAGGTCAGCCTGGCCAGCTGGACCCTGCCTTGGGGCTCCTGGGGGCTCTGCCCACCTTCAGGCCCCTGGCATGGGCTTCCTGCCCCATCCTCCTGGGGAGGAGCAGGGCAGGTTCCGAGTTGGGGCTCTGGCCCCAGCAGTCCTCGGAGGCCAGGATTTGGGGGGCACCTGCCAGCTCCCCCATCACTCGAGAGTGGGGCACTTAAGACCCCACAATTCCCCATCTTTCTTAGTGGGAAGATGGCCTCATCTCCCTTCCCAGGCCCCTGCCCATGGGGACATCTGTCTGTCGGGCCGGTAGCTACCTGTTGCTGGTGGGCCTGAGCTGGGGGGCTGCTGCACCCCACAGGGCTGCATCTGCCTCCACCTTCCCATCCCACCCTGTGCCCAGCTGCGCGGGTGCCCCCCGTGTGGCAGGCAGTTCCTGTGTCTCGCCACCCCTCACCGTGGCCCCCGCCTCACCGCAGGCAGAAGCTGACCCTGCCTAAGGAGATGCTTGCTGGCTGCGGGGCTGGCACCTGCCAGGTGATCGTGACCACCCCCATGGAGATGCTGAAGATCCAGCTGCAGGACGCAGGCCGCATCGGTGAGGGCGGGTGCGGGCCAGAGGGGGCAGGGGTGAGAGCCGACCCCGTCCCCTGCCCCGCTCGGAGGAACAGACAGCGCCCGTTTCTCCACAGCCGCCCAGAGGAAGATCCTGGCTGCCCAGGGGGGCGCCCAGGCCTCCGCGGAGGCTCCAGCTGCTCCCCGGCCCACGGCCACCCAGCTGACCAGGGACCTGCTGCGCAGCCGGGGCATTGCTGGCCTCTACAAGGGCCTCGGGGCCACGCTTCTCAGGTGGGAGGGAGGGGGAGGGAGGGAGGAGGCCAGCCTGCCCGCCCCAGCACCCCCGGGTCACCACGGCCACCTCCCTTCCCGCAGGGACGTGCCCTTCTCCATCGTCTACTTCCCGCTCTTCGCCAACCTGAACCAGCTGGGCCGCCCAGCGTCCGAGGAGAAGTCGCCCTTCTACGTGTCCTTCCTGGCCGGCTGCGTGGCCGGGAGTGCAGCTGCTGTGGCCGTCAACCCCTGTGACGGTCAGTGCGCAGCCCGGGGTGGGGCCGGGGCCGAGGGGTCGGGCGGCGCGTGGGGCTCACACGCCGGTCTGCACGCCTCGCAGTGGTGAAGACGCGGCTCCAGTCGCTGCAGCGCGGCGTCAACGAGGACACCTACTCGGGGTTTCTGGACTGCGCCAGGTGGGTGAGGTCCCCTGTGGGGAGCGGGAGTGTGGGGGGACTGGGCCCCGGTTCTGACCCTCCCTCCTCCACAGGAAGATCCTGCGGCACGAGGGGCCCCTGGCCTTCCTGAAGGGTGCCTACTGCCGCGCCCTGGTCATCGCCCCACTCTTCGGCATCGCGCAGGTGGTCTACTTCCTGGGCATCGCGGAGTCCCTGCTGGGGCTGCTGCAGGGCCCCCGGGCCTGAGCCTGCGCCTGCGCCTGCTCCGCCCCAGCCAACCGGGCAGGGCCAGCGTGGGGCGGGGCAGGGCGGCCAGCCCAGGACTTAGCGAGGCAAGACCTCCCCAGCCCTCCGCCCTCGCAGCGGAGGGGCCACAGGGTCCATGTGGGTGGTGTGCACACAGGCCCCCCCCAACTTCCCCCCGGGGTCTTGCTTCCACCAGTGGGATCAATGTCTTATTTATGTAGAAAATGCAGAAACCTTTACATTCCTCGAGCCAGCCCCTGCCGCATTCCTGCCTGGGCCTGAGCACCCCCAGAGACAGAGCTGGTCTCTGGGCTGGGGGCCCTAGGGCCTGGGCTGGGCAGGCTGCACCCTACCCCCAAGTCCACCAGCTCCTGTCCCCGAGGCTGTCCTGGGGACCCCGCACAAACCTATTTATTGATTCTGTGAGCCCAAGTGGCTGTCCAGTCCTTCCGTCCGTCCTCACAGCCACTCTTCCCATGCAGGACCCGACCGCCCCCCGCCCCGGCCAGCCTCGCAGGAGACCTGGGGTCTCCTGCCCCCGTGTTGACCGAGGCTCGCACAGATGTGTGAGTCCGTGTGCGTGCGTGTCACAGGGAGCGGGGTGTGCCCTCCAGCCCTCCGCTGGCCCCGCCCCCTGGGATGGGGCTGCGGGGGCTCTGCCCTCCCCACGTGGTGGCCGCTGTGCTGTGCCCATGCGCTGGGTCACCCCAGGCTCTCTGCTGACCCCGTCCAGGAACGTATTTCTCCAGTCTGGCCCCCCTTGCTGCACCTTCTGAGACTTTTCTGAGGCCCCCACCCCTTGTCTGGGGCGGGCCGGGGGGAAGGGCAGGTATAGGGACCAATATGGAGTCTGGGGGCACCTGCCCTGCTGGGGGGGGGCAGGAACTTCCCCCAGTCCCCACCCTAGTCTCTGAGCCTCTGCGTGAGGCCCCTGACCACAGTCCAAAGCTCCGTCCTACCAGCGCCCCCAGCTCTCCTCACCCCGCCCTGGCCATGTGATTGTGTTGGTGGCTGATCTTGACGTGCTGGTGCTGTGTCTCCGAAACGGGGCGCCCACGGAGGCCCCTTCCCAGTGACACTACCTGGGGCTCAGGCCTGGGCCCCCAGTTCACGGTTGTTCCTGGGAGCTGCCCCTCCCGTCACATCTGAACCTTGGAAGCTGCTGCTCTGCTTACAGAATTATATTTTTTTCTTTTGAAGAGTTTTAAGAGTTGTAATTTTTTGTGTCTTGTCATGTAAGAGGATTAATAAATATTCTAAGTAGATGCCTCCTCTCTGGGACTCTGTTTGTGGATGGGGGACAGGCCCATCTTCCCATCAGCGGCTCCCCTCCCGATGCGGGCAGGTCAGAGGTGCAGCCCCAGCCCCGCCCAGCTCCCCTGGGCGGGGAGCGGAGGCGGACTCGGGCCCAGAGCTCAGGCAGGCGGGGCCGGGCGGGGCGTGATGCTCCCTGAGCCAGGGCGGTGCATTGTGGGAAACTCCGGGCTCCGCGTCGGTCCGCAGCCGCCGCCCGCTGTCGTCTGGCGGAGGGAGCGCGCAGCGCCGAGGCGGGAGGCCCAGAGGACAGCGGCGTAAGGCGGCGGGCCCGGCAGGCGGGGGCGGGGGGCGGCGGCGAAGCGGAGGGCCCAGCCCTGAAGGTCACCGGGATGCCCAGACCCGGGCTCTCACTCCAGCACAGCCACAGCGGCTCTGGGAAGACGGAGAAGGCGCCGGGAGCGGGGAGGGGGAGGTCGATCTAGTGTGAGCTAGAAATAGAGGAGGGGAGCAGACCACCGGCGCTTTGCAAACTTGGCCAGCAGCTGAGACCCCTCCAGAACTGCAGGGGTGAGAGGCCTTGGGTTCCCTGGGAATGGGGGCAGCGGTGGGGCCTCCCACCAGGACACCCTCCTCTCACTGTGACCTTCAGGTGACCTTCAGGGTGGTCAGTGCACCTGGCCAGGGGAGGGGGACCCAGGCTGCAGCCTCCCAAAGTGGCTTCCTCTCCCTGGTGGGGGAGGTGGGAGGATTTCTCATCCTGCCCCGGGCGAGGCAGCTGGTGGTGTCCTGGTCTTCGGTCACCACAGACGCAGGGTCAGGGTCCCTTCCTCAGCATCTCCCCACCCCCACCTGGGAGGTTGCGAGTCAGGCCTAGCCAGGCACGGTGTGTGCCCAGTCTAGGCCCACAGAGGCGAGCACAGCCGCGGGCTCTGCAAGGACTGCCTGCCCTTGTGCCGGACGCGGGAGAGGCCTGTGCTGGGGAGTGGGTGCCAGAGGCTGGGGAGGGGCAGATGGCCCACCGGGGGGCCCAGGCCTCGATGGCTTCTGCAGCCTCCTGGGAGACACCCATTAGATCACATCTGGGTCCTCGTGGCCCTGGTGGCCCTGGGCCCCTGCCCACCCCCACAAGCCTCCTGAGAGCCCCTACCCTGGCTTCCCACCCTGCCCTGCCCTGCCCTCCCTCCACTTGGACCCTGGCCAGGTGACAGCCCCAGGAGTCTGTGTCACCTCTGGGAAGCAGGAATGCTCCTGAGAAGGGTGCATGGTCAGTTCTGCCCACCGTGGCTCTGGTCACCTCCCTGTGACCTAATACTCCCCCTCCAGTCCTCAGGGCCCATGAGGGCCTCCCTGCCCCGGACGAGCACATGCTGAGGAAGACGGGTTCGCAGATGAGGAAAGGTGGCTTCTGGCTGGTTTCCTGTGGCCCCCTCCCCCCCCACCCATCCACAGCCCATGGCCCCCGTTCCGTGGCTGGAGGGGCTTCCCAGGCAGTGGCTGCCTGATGGAGGCCAGACGCTGGGACAGAAGGGTCTGAGGCCCACAGGAGGCCCCTGGGAGTCCAGAGACCTGGGCAGGGTCTCCGTGGGGACACAGTAGTTGGGGCTGGACAGGAGGGGACCTCACCCCTTTCCACAGCCTCACTTGTGTCTCCCTCTAGGTGCATATAATGCCCAGGGCTGAGTCGTCCTGAGCCACTGTGGTCCAGCCACCGGCCTGTCCCGCAGGCCCCCACCCAGCCCGCCAGCACCACCCACCATGGAGTCCAGAGGGAAGTCGGCCAGCAGCCCCAAGCCTGACACCAAGGTGGCCCAGGCCACCGCCGAGGCCAAGGCCCCCCCGGCTGCTGATGGGAAAGCCTCCTCGACCAAGCCTGCAAAAAAGGAGCCCCCAGCAGAGAAACAGGAGCAGACGGCAGCCCCCAACCCGGCACCTGCCAAGAAGACCCCCGCCAAGGCAGACCCTGCCCTTCTCAACAACCACAGCAACCTGAAGCCGACCCCCACGGCTCCCACGGCGGCCCCCAGCAGTCCGGATGCCACTGCAGAGCCCAAGGGCCCTGGCGACGGGGCCGAGCAGGACGAGGCTGCCAACGGGGGCCCTGGGGGGGCTGGGGGCCGAGGCCCCTGGCCCTGTGAGAACTTGAACCTCCTACTGGTGGCTGGGGGGGTGGCTGTGGCATCCTTGGCCCTGATTCTTGGTGTGGCCTTCCTGACCCGGAAAAAATAATGCCAGGTGGCCAGATGGGGGCACGGAGCCACTTGTGTACAGATCCGAAGAAGCTAGTGCATGCAGAGTTCACCCCTACCTATCTACACACGCGCACTCGGTATATAGATGCATACGCCCCCACGCACCACGGAGAGGGATGCACAGCCTGGAGCAGGACACGGAGCCCCCCTCTGCCTCCCAACCCCCGGGGCTCCAGGGCAGGACAGGGACGAGCTCCAGCATTGGGCAGGGCCTGTGTGGCCCCCGCCCAGTTGGAGTGTGTCCGTGTGGATGTGTTCACATGTGCCAGTCCGGAGAGGCCCCAGTGATCTTGGGGGGCTTCCTGGCAGCAACATCCAGAGGAGGCCCCCACTGGCCTCTGCAGCGGGGTAGCGGGTGCAGGCATGGGTTCTGACTCGGCCCCGCCCTCGTGGGACATTAAAGGGTGTGGTCACTCCACTCTCCCCATTTCTGCTCTTTCTGTGCCCCTGGGGGTCTGCCGGCCAATGCACTGGGGCTGACCGGAGGCAGGCGGTCACCTTGGGTCCCGGTGCCCCTCCACCCACCGCCGTGCCCTGGCTGGTCTTGGGGCCTCCCCAGAGTTCTCCTTTGCCCACTTGTGCCCCAGGACAGCAGCTGAGGCTGTGACCACTGCACTTCCCAGAGCCACAACCATCCTGGGGTGTCTAAGGGCCTGGCGGGGAGGCAGGGGGTGGTTTGAAGGCCCCGCCCCATGGCTGTACCTGCCCGGTGCTGCCAGACTGTCCCCTCCTGCCTGTCCCCAGCATCCTCTGAGTCCAACAAGCGTATAAATGCAATAACAGGTAGAGTAGAACCGCTTGGGGGTGACCACCTCACACCACCCACTGCCCCGTAGTGCCTGTAGGGAGACTCCTGCCCAGCCCCCCTTAGCGCATCTGGTCCCAGCGTGGCCCTGGGCATGGCGGCAGCAGGCATGCTCTTGAAAGGTGGTGGTGGGCACTGTGGGAGCAGGACCTGCCCTCACGTGGCCAGTGGCCGCAGGAACCCTGGGCCTGAGTGCAGGCTGAGTCTGAAATAAACTCTGTTGTCTAAAGGCTAGGCTTGCGTCCTCACCGGCACGCGGCGGGGAGAGGAAGGGGCTTCCCACCTGGGCATGGAGGGGTCCAAGATCCATAGCCCCAGGCTTTCGAGGGAGGGGTAGGGGCCCAGGTCCCCCTGGCCGGCCCTCCTGCCACCTCCATGCCCTGGATCCTGGTGGGCTCTGCCCACAGCCCCCTGGGCCTGCCCCATCCCAGATGCCCCTCCCTGGCCTTCCTGGGCACCCTGACCCTGGATGGACACCCAGGGGCTACAGGACCAACGCCAGGCTGGGGCTGCTGGCCACCGTGCACAAGGCAAGGGGCAGCCCAGACTGGGTGAAGGAAGATGCTCCCTCCACGACCCCAGCCATGGAGGGAAACTTCTCAGTCCTCTCTGCACCGAGTCCCCCACTCCTGCAGGGGTGCAGAAGAGGCTGTCTGGTCACCTGTCATCCGCAGCTCCCTGAGCTGTGGGTGAGGTTGTCGAGAGGGGCTGGCAGGAACAAGGCCTGGGGGGCCCAGAAGTGCTCCTCTGGGCTCCGTCATCCTGGGCCCTTGACGGCCCACCCCAGGGGCAGCTGAGCTTGGCAGGCAGGAGCTCCATGCCCACCTCAGCCCCAGCCTTCTAGCTGGTGGGGGGAATACAGCCCCCTGCGTCCCACCCCCCACCCCAGAGCTGCAGTTCCAGGTGGTGCACCCACCTCTCAGGCCTGGACCAGTATGGACAGCCCCAGGCGGTGTAGACATCCTGAACGGCCCCTCCTGGCCACACACAGGGGAAGTGCTGAGGAGCCGCTGCCCACACCTGCAGCTCCCGCACACCTGCAGCTCCCGCACACCTGCCCCCAGGTGCCAGGGCCACCCCTCTGCTGCCCTCTGCCCTTCTCTCCACGCAGTGGCTTGTACCTTGAAGGAAATAAACACCCCTTCCTGGCATCCTCCTGGGCTTGGGAGGGAGCAGAGCTGACTGAAGGGTCTGTTGTCTCAAGCCACAACGACATGGCCTTTTGTCGCCGTGCCGTGCCACCGACTAGGCCACCCCATCTTATTTACCCATTGAGGGGCATTCAGGTTGCTCCACAATGTTTGCAACGCTGAACAGATCAGGAATGAAAACGCCTGGGAAGCCTCTTCCGGATCTGTGGGTACAGCTCATCTTCTTTGTCTGTTTCACTGTGGGAAACAACGCAAAAGTTGCCACCTTCACCGTTTCCAAGTGCACAGTTCGGGGGCACTAAGCACGTTGACGATGTCACACAGCCACCCACTGTCCACTTCCAGACCTTTCTCATCTTCCCAAACTGAAACTCTGTCCCCATTAAACACCAGATCCCCTCTCCCTCCTCCAGCCCCGGGCACCCACAATCCACTGCGTGTGCGTACGAGGCTGACAACCTCAGGCACCTCCTGCCACTGGAAGCACACGGTGTCTGTCCTTCGACTCACCGAGCATAATGCCCTCAGGGTTCATCCATGCTGTAGTACGCTTCATTTTTTTTTTTGGAGATGGGATCTCAGGAGTCTCACTCTCTTGCCCTGGCTGGAGAGCCGTGGCGTCAGCCTAGCTCACAGCAACCTCAAACTCCTGGGCTCAAGCGATCCTCCTGCCTCGGCCTCCTGAGTGGCCGGGACTACAGCCACCACCACCACCACACACACAGGCTGATTTTTCTAATTTCTGTAGAGAGGGGGTCTCGCTATGTTGCCCAGGCTGGTCTGGAACTCCTGGCCTCAAGCAATCCTCCCACCTCGGCCTCCCAAAGTGCTGGGATCACAGGCACGAGTCACCACCATGCCCAGCCCCTATTAAATGTTTCTTTCTGAGAAACTGGATTTGTCAGCCTCTTTCTTCAGCCGCCCAGCTTCCTCTGACCTCGGGGTGGGTTTGCGTCACCCTGCCCACCACAGAGCACTTGGTCAGTCAGCCAAGCGCTGAGACGTGAGTGAGAAAAGGACAAAGGGAATGAGGCATCCATGGGGGGTCCCAGGGTGGCAGCCACTTAGACGTGGAGGGGTGTGGCTCACCTTGCAGACACGTGTGTTTCCAGGACACCCCAAAGAGCCTAGAGCGATTGCTCACCGAGGGCCATCTGTCACACTGCGGCAAGCAAGGCACCAGGGGCAGCTGCGCGCACGGCCCTTCTGGAGAAGCGACGGGGCTTGAATAGGAACTGCAGTTAGGAAAATGCTGCTCTTGCTGTTGTTGCAAAGAGCTCTGTGGTCAAAAGTTGATTCGATCAGGATGGTTGCTTAGGCTACGTGCACCTCTGTCCTCTCTCGGTAAAACCTTCTCTGTAGACTAAATTCTGTCTCTTTCTCCATTTACTTCTGCCTGTCCTTCCTTCCTCCTGCCACCCTCAATGCCACATGGGCATCGGTGCCACAAGCCACCTAAGAAAATTTCTAACAACCTGGGATCTTTTAAGGAAAACAGAAAAGGCGCCACACACTCCTCTTTCTGGGAGGAACCCCAAGAGTTGTAAATAGATTCCTCACCGGTCTAAAGCACTGCTCTCTCTTGTGTTGCGATACCCGATCCTTTAGGTTTTGGGGGGCAGCGGACGTTACTTTGCGGTGTGAGGACGTGACCTTGGTGTGCGCCCTGGCTGGTGGGTCGCCGCGAGAGCTGCAGTGTCAGGGGTGCTGACGGGGGTTGTTGACAGTAACTGGCTGCTACCACGGGGGCCACTCTCTGCACGTTTGGATGAGAAAAGCGTGGTCTGAGCTCCCTGGGGGCTACGGGAGCACTCCCGGGATGAGCTCGGCACACGCGGGAGGGCTTGGGGCGCGGGGACGCCGCACTGGAGTTTCCCTCTCCTGGGGACCCAGGACTCTGTGAAAATGTGGGATCCTTGATTTGGGGGGGACCTAGGTGTTCTGCCTTCCAGCTGCGCCTGCTTTTCACAAGTTTAAATATTAGGCCCTAAAAACTGCAGACTTTCTTTGCTGTATTTATTAAAGGGCTCCACCAGGAAGCCAGTAAACGAATTAAGAAATAAGCCAAGGGGCCGGGCGCGGTGGCTCACGCCTGTAATCCTAG